TTTACAGCCTTGGAAACCCTGAACGGGGTCACTATGTTATGAACAGCACATAACAACAACATAATAACATCTCTGCTTTTGAAGGAGTGAGAGTGGCATAGTGGGTTAGGTATTGGGCTGCTAACCACAAGGTTAACAGTTCAAATCCATCAGCTGCTACATGGGAAAAAGATGAGTGCTTGCTAGGAAGAGAAGTCAAGTAGGGATGGTGAGAGAGGGAGACTGACTGGTGAACAGTTGGCTAGATGAGGCTCCATCATCTTGTGAGCAGCTTTGGCAGTGGGAAACAGAAACAGATTCGCGTAGGATTTCTTCTAGTTCCCCATGCTCCTCTGGTAACCAGAGTGTGGCCAGATCTCACCTTCATCCACCCACAGCACAGACCCTGCTCTCCAGGAGTTCAGAGTCGTATGGGTGGGACCCACGCCAGCATGAGGTGTGGGCCAGCTGCACTCGTTTGGTGTGCTACTTTGGGCTCAGCTCCACATCTACAAAACCCACAGAGTCACCAGACCAGTATTTAACTAGTTACCCTGCCCCCAGATTCCCTGTGGTCCTAACAGACTAAAACCAGCTCCATCAAGGGCCCCCAAGAATGACTTCCAAGTTGAGTGTACTGAACATAGATAACACTGAGGCCAACAGGAATGCTATCTAGGGCCGGGAACTTTGCTGTCACATCCCTTCCACAGCCCCCTCATGAGCTCCTTGAATTTCAGAAGCCCCACCCCCCAAGATTTCTCCCTTCCAGGCCCAACAACTGCACTGTTTGTTTTTACAAATACAACAATCTGACAATGCCCCAGAGACAGCAAAGAATTTTAGCTCACATGAAAAAACAAGAAAGAATTGCTCAAACAAATGACCAAGATGCAGAGCCAGAAGACATTTCTGAGGAAAAGGCAATAAACTAACAGAAAAATAATTCAAAATAATGAAAATTAGGTACCTTCAAAGGACTGATAGAAAGATCAAAAAAAGCAAGGAAAACATAATAAATAAAAACTTCAGAAAGAATTCAGGAAAACACTACAAAAACAGACAGACAAAAGAAATGCAAATTGTAAAACAGCACAAAACCTACAATTAGAAACGCAGAAGATTAATATTAAGATCTCAGAAAGGGACAATACAGTGAAAGGGCAAAGAAGTACATGTGAAGCAATGGAAACCCGAAGTAGTGAGCTTGAAGATAAATCTCTTAATAATAGTATGCTAGAAGAACAATCAGAAAAAAGAATTTTAAAAATCTGAAGAAAGCCTAAGAGTTATGTGGCATACCATGAAGAGAAACATTGATTAGAATTCCAAAACATAAAAAGACAAGCACAGAGAAAACCCTCAAAGAGTTGTTGGAAGAAAAGTTCCTTAACATCATGAAAGATGAGAAGATACAAGAAGCTGAATGAACCTCAAACAGGAAATGGTCCAAAAGAAAATCATCATTGCTTCACACATACTCCTTTGCCCAAGGGAATAATCTTTAAAATTTATAGAACACTTCAATAACTCAACAACAACAAAAAGGCTAATAATATAAATTTAAAATGGTCAGAAGTCATGAACAGACACTTCACCAAACAATGAGGTATGCTTACTTGAAATGGTCAATAATGCAAAATCAAAAAGGTAGCATTTATCTAAGGAAAAAGTTAGGGTTGGGAAGGAGGGTGGAATGGAAACAAGAACCACAGGGAGTAACTGGGAAAACTGATGTTACATGTATTGTTACTGAAATGAAACAAAGTGTAGGATTTGTTCAAAGTAAAACTGATAATCTGCTCTGTACACCTTCACTCAATTCATAATAAAAAAATTTGTTCAAATGCATTTTTGAAGCTAACTAAAATATAGTCTTTTAAAAGTCATTTTAATACAGAGTTAATCTAAAAAATACAAAGTGTTCCAGATCATTGCTACGTCATGAAAAAATAAATACCTCTTGCATCTGTAAGTAATTAGTTTTCATGGAAGAAATGAAAATAAAAAGCAAATCAAAGATTGGATTCTCAGTTTTCTTACTTTAATTATTTAAAGCAAGAGGGACTTCAATATTTAATACTGAAAAAATACAAAAAACAAGGAAAGTAAGAATGGTCGAGATGAAGAAATTGCTAGCTATGGCTGATTCCAAGCAGAAAATATCATATCTGATGAAACGTTCTAACACATTTAAGTATAGTGAGCATTGAGTCTTCAAATTCTTGGCCTAATTTCTTAAATATTCCAATGATGTGAACTTCTCCCTCAATTCAGATGCTTCAACTTTGAAGAGGGAATGTCAAATCTACCCCAGATGAGGAAATTGTTAAGGCTGAGGCTCTGTGGGTTAACTGTTAACACTGAATATTTACATTCCAGGAAAAGGCAAGGAGCACAGCCTTTAACATGGCTGCCCAGGATTGATTAGTATCAAACAGAAGCATCCAAAAAGGGTGGTGCCCCAACGCAACTCAGTAAGGGGCATTCTTGGACTAAGCTGGTCAGCTCCACTTGAGAACCTTTCAAGACCATATTCGCTGCACTTTCCTTGAGTTACAATGAGGAACATTATAAGGAATGGCCTTGTGGACCCCACAGACATATATTTGTGGTCAAGGAAAGAGCTGTGTATATAGTTAGCCCACAACCTATGGGACACGAGGAGAAACTGGCCTGAGTAGTACAAGGAGACCTCTCACTCTCAAGTTACTGATTTTGTGAATTACCTTACTGATGGTTTCATCATCGTTTTGGCTGCTAGAAAATTCAGAGTCACTTCAAGCAAACATACACTCATTTTCCACTAACCTTAGTCCTGGCATCATTTTACTTTATCCTGTTTTTCTCATCTACTCAAGCTGATTTTGAAATGTCTTGTTGGGTTATAAATATATGTACAGATGACGTGAGCCATAAGAAATCCTTCTCCAAAAAAGGTGAACTTAAATAACTAAACAAAAACACAAGCTTCCAAATACTAAAAATTAAATGTTTCATTTCTCCTGACTCTCTATTTGGCTAAATATCAACTGCCCTTCTTGATATGATGTGACAGTTTAATAAAAATACAACCAAGAAGTTGAACTCGTTCCCATGTCACTTAATGTATTTATTAGCTGATCTGTTAGTCTTCTACTCAGTGTATATGCAAATTCAATTCCAGTACTTCGCTTACTTTACATCCGAATTAAATAAAAAATTTTAGTTCATCTGCATTTTTTTGTTTTTAATGACCAAGGAATATGCATATCTATTCCCACCTAGGATTCCTGGTGTGATTGGATTAATGCGCTAAACTGCAAAGTTGATTTGCACCACAAGGTCATCGGTTCAAGCTCATCAGCTGCTCCTTGGAAACCCTATAAAAGGTTTCTATTGGTGGGAACCGACTCGATGGCACTTAACAACAACTAAATGCCCACCTAACTCTACTAGAATAAGTCAACTTGTGAAACGAATTCATAGGAAATCTTGCCAAATGAAAACTTAATGCAAGACGGTCAAAGGTTATTGGTTTCTTGGACTGTGGTGGTGTTGTTAAGTGCAGCCGAGTCGGTTCTGACTCATGGTGATACTGTATAAGGTTTCCCAGAAATGTCTTGTGAGCTTGAGTTGTCAACGTTGTGATTCAAACCGACCTTGAAGTCCAGCACACTAACCCACAACACCACACCGGGGTCCAGAAGCATTAGCTTCCAAAAATATAAATAAAAGAATTCCTGGGGGGCGATCCTAAAACAATCTGTGCAGAACGATTACATGTGCCTGTGTGTACACATTCACACATCCCCAAAGCACACTCTTAAGGATAGAACTCAAGGGAAATGACAGGAAGTGGAAAGGCCACTTAATCTAGGAACATGAAGAAGCCTGAGGATCTGGGGAGCCTGCAGAGACTTAAGTCATCCAACAGCATTTAAATATATTTGTCTGCTTACAATTTCCATTGCAAATGTGATTAGTTAGCTTGAATAAATAGGAATATGATGTGTTGGCCATGTTTTCCTCTTGAGGTTATCACAGAGTTTTGATTAAGGACAAATGTTTGAAATGTTGCGCATATTTAAGTTCACTATGTTTAAAATGAGCTAAGAAATTGTATAAGCTTGATTAAAGGGCTGTCTCCCTGAACTTACAATTAAAAGCAATAAATGTCAATGATTCAAGTGATTGGGTCTAAATGTGGTATTCTGTCAGAAAAGTTGGAAAGGGGTCCAAAGAGTGAAATGGTGTCCAGGTTTAAAGAAAGGGTGAAAGTGGAAAGGTCAGCGTATCGAAGTTGTCTTTTCTCTGAGTTCGTGAATGATTCATATTGTACAGAAATCCTTTTAAATAGGGCTTCACAGGAATGCTCCTAGGGCAATCTGTTTTATCATTTCCAAAGAGAAGCCTCTCAAACGCTCCAAAGTGGGTAGGTTAAGTGTTGCAAACGCGGTGATGGAGAAGAAAAAAAGGAAAAGTGAGTCTGGAGTTTTTAGCGCACACCCACAAGCAGGCCGACACTCCCGGGCAGTTTCCAAAACGGAAATCAAGGTGACTTCCACCCGCCGGAGGGCGGAGCCCTTGAAACCTGATAGGATCAGGCTTCAGCCCCGGCTGTCGCCCCTGGAAGAAGTCTTGGTCAACAACAACCGGGGTCAGAAGCAGGACTGCGCTGGGGTAGGCTAGGCGCCTACTCCTGGAGCACCATGCACAGATCGTGCCCGTTGATCCTCACCTCGCCAACCTAGACTCAGTCCCGCTGGGAACCCGTCTAGCATCGACTCCCCTCCCCTGCCAAATGGGAGGGCCCAGCCGGCAAAGTTTCTGATGCAAGGTCGAGCCTCGGTGCCCGAATCAGTTACACAGGGATATGCGAGAGGGGAGGTCACCTTCCTCTTCCGCAGCTACCAGGTTAAGCAGCAGCTCCGAGCCCCTTTTCATTTGCTTTCCGAGGTGCACGTGAGCACCCATGCCTCTCGTCCCCCTTGAATTAGGTTCGACCGGCAAGCTTCCTCCGGGCAGGGGCAGACGCTTACCTTGGCGGCCGCCATGCTTCGTCCCGGGTGCAGAGAGCCGCGGGACCCACTTACTGGCTTGATCGCACTCCGGACCCCGGCCACTCACTTCCCGTCCCGGAGGTAGCAGAGGCGGCTATACGACCCGGCAGCGTGCGCACCCGGCCTGCCTCCTCACGCCCTCCCGCCAGCGCGGGTCATGCGGGCGCCGCCAGCCCATTGGTCGGGGCCGCAGGGACGCGCGTGATCCGAGCGGCCTCTGCCCGGAGGCCAGGACTGGCTTGGGCCTGGGGGCGGTGAACCGGACAGGGGCACGTGATCCCGGATGCGCTGTCCAGCAGAGATGACTAGGAGAAGGGCAAGGGGCATGCAGGTGCAAACCCATCTGGGGGAAAGTGATCTGGTAAAGCTGGTACCAGGGGCTACTCTTGGGCCTTGGGGATAGATGGGAAGGGCAACCTGGTTCAGAATCTGGGAAGGTTTAAGAACTCTACATGCCACATGTTTAGTCAACTTTTCATTATCACTTCGCGTTCAAAGAAACTCCACTTGGCACTTTTGACAATTGACTTTAACCTGTAGAAGATGCGGTGTCAAGCAGTGTTGAAGGCAAGTCTTATTTTATGTCAAATGTGGTAAACATAAGAACCTAACCGATGAATGTTGTAGTGTAAGTGCCGTCGAATCCGTTCCACACATAGCAAGCCCTATATAGTTTCCAAGAAGTAGCTGGTGGTTTGAATCTCCAGCCTACGGTTAGCAGTCCAATGATCCTACATTGCCATACTAGGACTCCAAACTGAATAGAGTGCAAAATTTAAGGAATTGCTCTATTTCAGCTCTAAGGGCCTGTGGTTCTGTAGTAGAGTGGGCTGCTAACCCCAAGATCACAATTGGAAACTACCAGCTGTTCCACAGGAGAAAGATGAGGCTTTCTGCTCCCATAAAGATTTACAGCCTCGGAAACCCTGTACAGGGTCACTATGTGTTGGAAGCATGGCACACAACCACTACTATTTCGGCCCAGTAGGGTCAAAAGACCCAAGATCAAAAGACGTGTTCCCCGAAAATAGGTCGTGCTAAAGAAAATGGCAAGTCAAAATCTCATTGAAAATTTTAACATAAATCCCAAGTTCCTTCTCTTCATCAGGACCTCATTAATGTATCCCTATCAAAATGTGTAATTATTAAGACAATGATTGTCAGAGGGGCAGACTGTAGCACATCAGCAAAACTGCTTATTAATCAGTTTAATTAATCAACATTAATAGAGCATCTACTATGCGCTAGATGCTGCACCATCCCATTCCTCAGCAAGCTTGCAGGCTAGTGGGCAGGCAGGCACTTAACTACTTAATGTCAATATCACCTATTAAGGCACTTACCTGTTCCCAGACTACCATGGTAACACTGGGGATTGGATAAAGAAGAAGCGTTGATGCCTCAGCAGAATGGAGGGAAGTGGCTGTGAATTAGTACAGTGAGTTAAGCCGGAAAGGTGTGCCAACAGAAACAATAAAGACAAGAGGCAGGAGGCCCAGGAATTGCTAGGGAGCCACAGAAGTTTGGCAGGAAAGAAGACGTATGCTATGTCTGGGGGGAAAAGCATCTGGATGGACAGTGATAGACACTGCCATAGAGGATGTTGGGTGTCATGGGAAGGATATGGACCTTAACTAAAGGCCTTTAAGCTAGGAAGTAAAATGGGTAGATTTTCTGTTATAGATGAATCCCTCTGTCTATAGTATGGGGCAAGACTATTGGACTGTTCAGACAAGACCGAGCCTGAAATTAAAATGTGATAAGGCTGGAGGAATACATCATAAATCAAAAAGCCAAACCCACTGCGATCAAGTGAATTCTGATACCATAGTGACCCTTCAGAACAGAGTAAAACTACCCCATAGGGTTTCCAAGGCTGTAAATCCTTTCTGAAACAGACTGCCACATCTTCCTTCTAAGGACTAGCTGGTGAGTTTGAACTATTGACCTTTTGGTTAGCAATTTAGTGCCTAACCACTATGTCACCAGGGCTCTAGAGAAATGCATAGGAGATCAAATTAGTTGGCCTTTGTACTACAAAGTACTGTGGAGACACAAGAGAAAAACAGTTATCCTTATTACACATAGACCCTGAGTTTGCATGCTTGGAAAGACACCAAACCAAAAACCAGTTGCTATCACTCATAGTGACCTCATGCATACCAGAATAGAACTGTGCTCTGTCGTACATGGGGTCACCCTTGAGTTGGAGCCTTGTTATTGTTATCAGGTGCTGTTGAGTCATTTTTGACCCATACAATAGAACGAAACACCTCTCAGTCCTGAGCCATCCTCACAATTGCTCCTATGCTTAAACCGATTGCTGCGGGCACTGTGCCAATCCACCTCTTTGGGGGTCCCCCTCTTTTTTTTCTGACCTTTACCAAGCAAGATGTCCTTCTCCAAGGACTGGTCCTTCTTGATAAAAACCCTAAGTGTGAGAGACCGAGTCTAGTTCTCTTGCCTTCTAAGAGCATTCTTTTGATCGTACTTCTTTCAGCACGTATTTGTTTGTTCTTCTGGCAGTCCATGTTACCTTTAAAATTCTTCTCCAACACCATAACTCAGATGCGTCAGTTCTACTGTGGTTTTCTTTATTCATTGTCCAACTTTCACATGCATAGGAAGCTGTTGAAAATACCATGGCTTGGGTCAGAAACACTTTAGTCCTCAAACTTTGTTCTCCAACACTTTAAAGAGGTCTGTGCGGGAGATTTGCCTCATGCAATACGTCGTTTGATTTCTTGACTGTTGCTTCCATGAGTGTTGATGGTGGATCCAAGCAAAATGATTTATTTGACAACTTTGATTTTTTTCTTGATTTATCCTGATGTTATCCATTGGTCCAGTGGTGAGGAATTTTGTTTTCTTTACAATGAGGTGCAACCCATACTGAAGGTTGTGGTCTTTTATCTTCACCAGTAAGTACTCAATGGTAAACGACAAACAGAGACAAAGAGGATAGTTACACTTTAAAATTTAAATAAAAAGATTCATACCTATGGCTGTTACGATAAATTACAACAAATTTGATGGCTTACAACAACAGAAATGGTGGTGGTGGTGGTTATGTGCCTTGGAGTCAGTTCTGACTCATAGTGACCCTGTACAGGGTTCCTGAGGCTGTAAATCTTTACGGGACCAGAAAGCCTCATCTTTCTTCCGCAGAACTCCTGGTAGTTTTGAACTGCTGACCTTAAGGTTCACAGCCCGATACGTAACCACTACGCTACCAGAGCTCCTTCAAATTTATTCTTACAATTCTAGAGTCCAAAAATTTAAAGTGACTCATGTGCAACTTGTCAGCAAGGCTTTAGGAGAGAACCTACTTCCTTGCCTTTTCCTGTCTAGAGCTGCTTTCCTTGTATTCCTTATCTCAAGGCCCCTTCTTCTATCTTCAAAGCCTGAGGCAAAGCATTTTCTCTTTCTGACTGCACTTTGTCACATGACCTCTTTTATCAAATAGCCGTCTGCCTCCCTATTGTAAAGACTTTGTGAATCCATTTAGACCCCACCCAGATAAACTAAGACAATTTCCCTCTATCTAGTTTATTGGAGCTCTGGTTGCATAGTGGAAACGAATAAGGCTGTGAACTGCAAGGTCAGCAGTTCGAAGCTACCAGTTGTTCTGCGGGAGAAAGATGAGGCTTTCTGCTCCTATAAAGATTTACAGCCTCGGAAACTCTGTACAGGGTCACTATGAGTCGGAAGCACATAACAACAACAAGTTTATTGGAGTCCTGGTGTGGTGCTGTGGGCTAATGCATCATGATGACTGCAAGGTCCGTGGCTCAAGCTCACCAGTCTCTCCTTGGTAATCCAATACAGGGTTGCTATGGGTCGGAATTGACTTGACAGCACTTAACAACAAGGTGTTTTGTTTTTCTTGTTAGGTCAGTTCAGACCTAAAGCAACCCTCAATAGGGTTTTCAAGGAGCAGCAAGTGGGTTTGAATCACTGAACTTGCAGCTAACAGTACAGTGCTTATCCTACAATACCACATCAGGACTTCACTATCAAGAACCTTAATTTAATCACATCTTTAAAGTTCTTTCTGCCATATAATATTATGAAGTTTCAGAAATTAAGGCAAAGACATCTTTGGGGGCCTTATATTGTAATAAGCTGCACAAAAGTCCCAAAAGATGTCTGTGCCTTCATTTCAGATTATATATATTGTTAGTTGCTGTTGAGTCTAGTCTGACTCGTGACAACCCCACGTGGGAGAACAGAGTGTTCCATAGGGTTTTCCAGGCCCTGACCTTTCCAAAGCAGAGCACCAAGCCTGTCTTTTGAGGTGCCTCTTGGCTGGTTTGAATCACCAATGTTGTTGACTAATTTTTGTTATGTGTGCCACCAAGTGGATTCTGACTCATGCCATCTGTACCACCTCAGGACCCCTACACTACGTGTTCCCCATTACTGTGGACTCATAGCGGTCCTATGGGACAGAGTGAAACTGATCTCATAAGGAGTCCAACACTTAAATCTTTAACAGTAGCAGAATGCAATATCTTTCTGCTGCAGAGCAGTGGGTGGATTCAAACCACCAACTTTTCAGTTAGCAGCCAAGTGTTCAGTGATTTGAGCTTCCATCTTCATTATAGAATTCTCTTTAAGTATGAAACTTTTAGGAAGTTAAACTGTCATGAGTTCCAAAAAGGAAAATTGAAGATGCTCATTGGCTTTCATCCCACCTTAACAATAGAGCAATGTGGAGTTCCATCTGTGATGATAAAGTACAAGGTGACTGGGTATCTACTACTTTGTCCTGTCCTGGCAAGCTTGAGGTCCCTCCTGACTAATCAGGTAACTGTCTCATTTATATCTCTCCTCTCTGTCTCCAGATCACTCTCTTCCCTGTTATTTAAAAGTGCTGTTTTAGTGCCATCCAGTCGATTCTGACCCTAGTTGATTCCAATACATGGTAACCCTGTATATGGTTTTCAAGGAGTAGCTGGTGGGTTTGAACTACCAATCATGCAGTTCACACTGACCATGTGGCCAGTGCTTATCCTACAGTAACACACTAGGGCTTTAGTAGCTGGCAATACATTTTAACTGAAGAAGGTCCCTAAGTTACCTGTGTTTTGTAGCATCATATACTGACCTGTCCTGCTGGAGAACAGCCAACCCAAACCATGAGGAAAACTCATGGGCTAACAGAGTACACAGCCTG